CTAACATAGAGTTTGTCTGACGATTGCAAAGCGTGAAACCCAGTGTCACAAACTCACATCAATCAAGCAAATATTATTTTACCTTTCAACTGATGCCTACCGTATTTGACGGCATGTAAAACGCACCGGTGTATATGATGCACCTCAATTTCAATAGGGTAAATCAAAAAAAAATTAATAATTAGTAAAATTAGTAAAACCTACACATATGGCATATAAGACGCAGAGGAATTTTAAAAGATATTTTAATAAGAAATTAGTGCGCCTTATATACCGTCAAATACGGTGAATGTTTAATTGAAAAGAGGCGGTTTGTTTTTAATTATTTTTATGCGAAAATTTATTTAAAGAATAATAAACCATGAAAAAATTCACAAAGAAATTGAATACATCGTAAATACATTGAATTAAAAAGTTGAAAGACATTAAAAACTTTTTAATTTAATTTAATTACAAGAAATATTCCGAGAAAACTGAACACTTTATTTAGAAAGACTGTTTGCGATAAAAAAAAACATAATACCTTAGGGGACTTGATTTTTGATCTTTGTTATTTTAGTAAAACTAATTTTGTTATTAATATATATATGTAAAGAGAGAAAGAGAGAGAGAGAAAGAGAGGGGGAGGGAGGGAGTGGTGCAAAAGTACTGTACACATATGTTTGTATCACATATATATATATATATATATATATATATATATATATATAAACACGTAGGCATTTTTCAACCTGGACATAGGAATAAGAAAAGAAGAACAGTGATTTATCTAAACTGAGTGATATATATATATATATATATATATATATATATATATATATATATATATATATATATATATATATATATATATATATTGTGTGTGTGTCTATAGGAATGGTGTATACGGAATAAATTTCAATAGCCAAAAATACTATTTTTATAAGAGTGCTCAGTATAGAGTAGAGCAAATATAATTTAATCTAATTCATTCGAATAAATTATATATATATATATATATATATATATAAAAATATATATATATATATTAAAAGATGTAGGCATTTTTCAACTGGGACGTTGGAATAAAAAGAAGAAATAAAGGAATTTTATATCTAGACTGGAGATGCTTTTGTCAATAATGTTCATTTCCCTTTAGTTTTTCAACTAGGCCACCTGATTTGCTTTATATAAGATAGACTGATTGTTCCAAGGAGAGGGGTTAGGATTTTTGTTAAGGCTTTCACGAGTTGGGGGTGTCTATTCCTGACTTGATGAGGCACATTTGGATACCTGTTTTTGAGTTGTAAGGAGAAAGAATAGTTTTTCCTTACCAACAACTAAAATAATATATATATATATATATATATGTATATATATATATATGTGTGTGTGTGTGTGTGTGTGTGTGTGTGTGTGTGTGTGTGTGTGTGTGTGTGTGTGATAAAGTGAAGAAGGGTATGTATTTCTCATTAATTAATTTGAGTAGACACTCTGTATGTTTGTATTATATATATATATATATATATATATATATATATATATATATATATATATATGTGTGTGTGTCTATGTATATGTATATATATATATATATATATATATATATATATATATATATTATATATATATATATATATACATATATATATATATATATAGTAATTACGGACAAGAAACTTATGCATAATTATGAGATGAACCTGTTAAAAATAACTAGACAAAACTCAATTATTTCAGAAATGAATTTATTGTTTAATAAAAAAACATATATATATATATATATATATATATATATATATATATATATATATATATATATATATATATATATATATGTAAACATGAAACTTAAGCGTAATTTTGAGATAATCCTATTAAAAAATTAATATAAAGAACTAAATTATTTAAGTAATGAGTTTATTATTTAATAGGAACATGCTATATATATATATATATATATATATATATATATATATATAAATATATTTCGATATAGATATATATATATGTGTGTGTTTGTGTGTATGTATAGTATTTAAGAACAAGAATCTTATATGTAATTATGAGATGGCTTCATTAAAAAATAAGTAGAAAAAATAAAATATTTTAGAAACGAATTTATTAATTCATAAGAACATGCTGCCAATATATATATATATATATATATATATATATATATTAAAATACCCTCCTGTGACCTTGATTACTTCAGCACAATTTTTGACATTCGTTGCTATAATTTCTCAAAGCATAATTTTTATAATTCTTTCCATTCTTTTTTCAATGATTCTAAGAGCCCTTTTCCATTTTTTTTTTCACACTTTTGTCAATTTCTTGCAAGTTCTGGGGGAGTGTTTAAAATTTTGAACTGTAGAATATGCAGACACACACACACACACACACACACACACACACATAGGCAGAAAGAGAGATTGGGGGATTGGTATTGATGTACGAATGCCAATGCCTTTGTGTGTATGTGTATATGTGTATGAGAGAGAGAGAGAGAAAGAGAGACAGAGAGAGATAGAGAGAAAGGAAAAGAAAGAAAGAGAGAGTGGGTGGGTGGAGAGACAGAGTGATATGATCAAAAGGCACTCCCTTTGCTCTTCTATCAGGAATACGCCCACACGTCGCGTTTGATTGACCATTTAAGAATAATCACCCCGAAACCTTAATGATTGTTCTATATAAAAATCCATATATAAAACCCCAGGCCATAATTGTCCAGATATTCTGAAGGGAAAGCCTAGCACAAACACCATCGGCAACATGTGGATAAAAGCGATCCTTTTGGCTACATTGGCATTACTGGGGGTAAGTTTCCTTTCCTTTCTTTCTTTTTTTTTCTCAGCACCAACATTCATCTTAAAGAAGTAGAAAACATCAAGTGGCTCAAGTCCAAGTGTCCAAATATATCTAGAACTAATTTTGACCAACACAAAACGAATTTAATTCACTTGGATTTTAGAATTTTATTCATCTCAGATAACCAAAACAATTAACGTGACTGCATTAATGTGAAGAGTGATACTGTGATCTGGACTGCAAAAGCAGTATTTTAGAAATTGGCTTGAAATGGTCAAGGTCCGTGTCACGCCGCCAGAGGGTAGCCACACAATGTTGCTGCCATCTTTTGGTAAAAGATGAAGTTGTATTTCTTAGGTGACTACTTTACATAATCTGATTGACAATGATGGCGGGCCGTAAATGATTGATTCTATGACAAAGAATTTGACAGCGGGCCGTAATTCGCACCCGGGTCGGATTTTGGACATGCCAGCTTTAGGCTATTCTATGGTAAGATGTGAAGAAGGCCAGAAAGCAAATCCACCGAAACGTTGTTAATTTGCACAGAAAAATATTTTCAAACGACTCATATTCCATTACGCTGTTTAATGCAGTGAGAGCAAATTTCAAACACAAATATCTCCAGTTCTAAAAAAAAAAAAAAAACTAAATGGCACGAATTTTATATAAAAACTTACTAAAAGTTTTCTACTTAGAAGTGATACGAAGATTAAGAAGACAAAATTCTTCGTTATATTTTGATAATTTCTTTTAATTTTTTTTAATTTTGAGATAAGTAATTGGCAATATACTTCGACTCTCGTTCCCATCTTCATTATTCTCAATGTTGTTATAGACACAACGTTTCGATCAAATACGCTCTAATCATCTTCAGGTCTTTATTATTATCAACTAATTGTTTTTGTCTTTTGAAATGAAGAATTGTTATGCATAGACTGTTATTCCCATCTTCATTATTCTCAGTGTTGTTACTGACACAACGTTTCGATCAAATACCCTGGCCATCGTCAGATGTCCATTGTTTTTTATTGGTCTTGAATATATTATGTTCATTATTGTGCTATGCTGTGACTCCTTTTTTCCTGTTCTTGTATAATAATCGTGAGTTCAATTCCTGGTTCAAGTAGTGAAATAATAATTAGAAAATACAAAAAATGATCAGCTTAATCCTATATCAACTAAAACACAATGAACACTGAAGATGGTGAGAAGGCACTTGATCGAAACGTCGTAATTGTAATAATGTCTATAATAAACATTATGATAAATAATTGAATGACAAAATGGGATAAATCCTATATTACACATTTCAACCTTCGAAAGGATTTCTTCAGATTAAATGAAAAGTGCGTAGAAACATATACTTTTAATAAGCTTAGGCTAGTTTGACAAAAGGTCACAAGAAAGGAGCGCTCGTAGAGATCGAATATTGCGGAACCTACTTGATAAACATTGTCCTACCGCATGCATCCAAGATTTTCATATTTTTATAAGAAACGGCGAGAAAAAAATTAATGCAAAAAGATTTAACCCGACTAGTTAATGGTATGATATAAATAAAGTCATCATTAGTCCGCTGACAGAGGCTGTCGTCGTCGGGTGGCCGTTCTCTTCAGATATCTGGTTTGAAAGTCGGAGAGATATTCAATCATCCGTGACGTGTTTTGGGTGACAAGACCTGGCGAAACAATTTCCTCTCATCAGCCGATATTATCCAATTTGAAAGGACGCCTCTGCCTAGCAATGTGATGTCTTCACTGCCCTGGAAGCATATATTGCTATGGAGCTCGGTCTATCCTATCCTACTGTGTTCATCCCACGAGAATATTTATCCGCCCTTTGACACCTCTTGTTCGTTATCTTACTTGCTATCTACTCACCAGAAAAAGCCTGAAGAGGGAACCGGTTTAATCGCCAATGATCCGACCATGAGGTTTTCAACTGATTGATTTGTTTTTTACGGCTTATACAACCTCTTGCAATTTATTTAAATCCAGAAAATATTTTTAGGTTGTAAGAATTTTTTGAACATAATGAGGATTTACTGAAACAAATCCTACTAATTAACCCATAGCTGGGGTAGAAGAGGTAGATTTAGACATTCCTCCAGAGTATTTTCTCGTAAATGAATATAACGAACCTGACAGGAATTGGAACTCGGCTCTCCGAGTTTCAATTTCGAGTCGTTATCACCTGCATATCCAAGTTTACAGCACATGGAATTTCCATGCGGCCACCCATCCGTGTACTGACTAGGAAGAACATTGCTTAACTTTGGGGATCGTACGGAAACCGGTATTTCAGTGTGATACGGTCGTAAGCTCTTTTCACTAACCGCACATACAAGCATACAGCACCAGATATTCTCAATTGGTCACCCATCTAGGTACTGACCAGTTTGGATGTTGCTTAATTTCGGTGATCGTACGAGAACCGGTATTTCAATGTAATATGGCCAAAACCTTTTGACTATTGACATATCTAATATTCCCAAAGCAGTCACCCATCTAGATACCGACCAGGCTGGACGTTGCTGATCTTACGGAAACCGGTATTTCAACGTAATATAACCGTAAGCCCTTTCGACTACTTGCATATTCAATCTAACAGCGCCAGGTATTCCTAAGCGGTCAGTCATCTGACCAGTCTCGACGTTGCTTAACTTTGGTGATAGTTTAAGGTGATATGGAACTAAGCCTACCATATGGCAGATAGTACTGGGTTACATTGTACCCACAGCACTCGCAGATAAATTATGAATTACGTTAATTGATACTGTTACTTACTGAATTGAATGAATATCTTGTAAAATTCAGAATGCCGCCATTTTGAATGACATCGATGAGGATAGCAGAAGCTTAGATGCATTAATTGAGGAGCTCAAAAGTAAGTGAAATATTTTTAAATATTTTGTATAAAAATTTTTGAAAAAAAAATGCCGTTGTAAAGAAAGTCCTGACTCACTTAGGAAGCGGAAAGAAAACAACGTAATTTTATGGGGCAAAACCAACATCTATTCTTTAAAATAAAGTCCATCATTTTCACCGATCTTCTTCCAGCGATCAGACAACAACCGAATCGGTTCTAGATACCAGTTCGTTGGTTTTGAATCAAAAAACTGCAACCAAGCTTCCTTCACTTCATCAAAAGTGTTGAATCTCTGGACGTGAAGGAAGTGTGCCATTGAGCAAGTTGGATCCAAGTCACAAGTAGCATCGGGACTAAATGGTGGATGTGGAAGACTCTTAACACCGTCCATCTGTTTGACCTCCTCCTTAGTCAACATGACAGTGTGTGGACTCGAATTGTCTTGCTGAAACAAAGCCCGATTTAGATTGACCAAAGCAAGACACTCCTTTCTTAATTTGTCGTACACTCAGTCCAGCTTCTTACAATACAATTTAGCGCTGATGACGCGACCGTGTGGAACATGCTGGAAATGCTGTACTCCATGGAAATTCTACCAGACAGAAATCAACATTTCTTTCCGCTTCCTAAGTGAGTGAGGACTTTCTGGCCAATCTAGTATTTTGAAATATAAATTTTATTTCATTTTTTTTAATTACTTCTTCATTGTAAATATTTATTTATGACATTTAAAATGGTCCTCGCTGCAAATAAAGGTTGTGACTTAATGCGTCTTAATACAAAACGTGTTCAAGGCTTTCGTGCCACATCCACGATTCTGCGATACCCCCCCTATCTGTCAATATAGGGCCCCCAACTCTACTACATCTCAATTTTCATAAGGTAGTATGAATATAAAACATAATTTTTATTGTAACAGAATTATGTACAAAATCGTTGAACAATTCAACGAGAAAAGTTTCAAAATGAACCCAATGTATCTAAATATTCACTTGACATCAAATGGAATGCATACGATCCATAGCTAAAGATTCAGGTAAAATGTCCGGCTCCCTGTAGCAAGTCCCTGACTCCATTTTCTTTACAAAAGCATTCTTGGTAATTTTTTTTACAATGGATTTTACGTAATTTTATGCTTTCAACTACAGATATTTCGTACATGAATTTATGTTTTCATGGTAAAGGTTATGTTTTTAGATATACAGTTTGCTGATCATAAAATGTACCGTTGGTTATTTTACTATAAAAATGTTTATATATTTTGCTGTTGCATTGTCATTTTGCTATGAAAACGTATTGTTAGTCATTTTATTATAAAAATGTACTGTTTAATTTTGTTTGGGTGTTCACTATTTGTCCATAATTGGGACCCTAACAGATGCTACTACCCCAGGTCAGAGTGGAACTTGTAACAGCATCAATTAAGAGGTGGTTCCTCGCTTCGCAAAATCTCCCGGTCAGAGGCCTTACTGCCGGATGTAGTTTATCGTCATATCCAGGAAAGCCGAGTTAATAATATTTTATTTGTAATGTCGAATTTAACATAAAACATTAAATTCATTATTTTTTTTAGAAGACTAGATTCTATATTCATATTTTTTTTCTTTGCCTAGATCGAGAAATTCGTCGTCCCGGTGGAGAAATACTAGAAGGTATGTTATTAAATGTTGATCTAATGGAATAACCTGACACCCCCAGGAGTGACTACACTATAGGTAGTAACTGCCTATAAGTAGCTGTAAGTCAACGGACTACAAAGACTACCCGAAATCTTTTAGGCTAGACGGTCGAACTCTCTGAGCAGAGAGGAACTCGGACGAGGCTCAGCCGAAGGGCAGAGTCTCGTTCGGGGAGGTTTACCAACACGATCCCGTTTATACGGAGAACCCACGTTAAACACGGCCTTGTACCACATCTACCCTCGTTGGTGATTAGTAAATATCGACTACCCGAAATCTTTTCGGCTAAACGGTCGAACTCTCTGCCTTCGGGAAGAGAGTAACCCGGACGAGGCTCCGCCGAAAGGCAGAGTCTCGTTCGGGGAGGTTGACCAACCCGATCCCATTATGTTGGATCTACGGGCATTTTTTAGCCGAGCCTTGTGGCTCGGAGATCCCACGTTAAACCCGGCCTTGTGCCACATGCAATCCTTGTGGTGGGTGTCTAAATATTCTATCCGAAATCTTTTTCGGCTAGACGGTCGAACTGCTTTCGGGCAGAGAAGAACTCGGATGACGCTTTGCCGAAGGGCAGAGTCTCTTTCGGGGAGGTAGACTGTCCCCATCCCATCTATGCGGGTTCTACGGGGATTTTTTGGCCGAGCCTACGAGCTCGGAAGACCCAAATTAAACACGTCGTTGTGCCACATCTACCCTCGTGGGGTGGGGGTAGCTAGTAAATACCGACTAGCTGTGATCTGTTCCAGCTAGACGGTCGGTCTCTTTCCCTTTGGGCAGAGAGGAATCCTGACGAGGCTATGCCGACACGCAGAGTCTCCTTCGTGGTGATAGACCAACCCGATCATTTTTATGCGGTTTCTACGACGATTTGGGGGCCGAGACTACTGGCTTAGATACCCAACGTTAAATTCGGCCTTATGCCACATCCGACCACGTTGGGCGGTTGGCAAATATTCTAGCTGGGATTTGTTCCAGCTATGCTGTTGAACTCTCTGTCCGAAGGCAGAAAGGAACCCGGACGTGGCTCTGCCGACGGGCAGAATCTCGTTCGGGGACGGAGACTGTCCCGACTCGGTTTATGCCGGTTGTACGGGGATATTCAGCCATGTGCCACATCCTACCCCATGGGGAGGTTGGTAAATATTATTAGCTGGTATCTGTTGAGTACGACTCAGACTTAAGTGAGAACTACCGATCTTCCACTAGTAGCACTCACTACTGGATTGACTTGCAACGACCTTGTGCCTAACTGTTACCTTTATTCTTATTGTACTGGTTTTTTTTACAATAAACCTTTACTTATTTTATCCACCATGTTTTTCAAGTATATATTCCTATTAGCACGGAATATAACAAATGTATTTTTAAATAATACCAAAATATTTCCGATTTCATTGTCTTTTTTCTTTCAGTTTTTCCCCTTTTCATTATTTTCTTTTCTTATCTCTTTTTAACTGAACTCTCTAAGATTTTCCCCCATTGCCGTATATAGGCATCAGTGAGTTTAATTCCTGGTTCCGTCGTCTATCAAAAATCAACCCACATGGGTTAATTTCTGTACTTTTGTGCTTATTTTTGACAACAAAGCTCGTATCTTGAGCTTTTAAGCTTTTCGATCTAACGTCCTCTTTCCTTATATTTAGTCCTTTCTTCCTGTTTGCCTTTACCACATTGTCGAAGAGTTCTTGCAGTTTCCGGCGTATGCCTGCAATTTGCGTATCGTATGTGCTTTCCTTAGAAAGGGAAAACAACTTTGAAATACGATCGACTCACATATAATGATGATAGTATTCGCTCGGAACAAAAATTGGTCCCATCAAAAAGTAGGGAAAATATTTTGGGGAAATAATTTTTATCAGGGAGCTATTTCAGGACCCCTATTGATATATGAACATAAAAGACCGTCTAAATTAATAAGAGAAAAATACTTCCGGTTTCTAATAAATTTCGCAGAATAAGGCGGACGAAAAAATATTTATCAATAAAGAGTATTTCCTGAAAATATTCACTATTTTTTATGAGCGGACCAATCTATTTAAGTAGTGCCAATCCTTTTCCAATTGTTTTCTTTCTTCTTTCATTGTCTTTTTTCTTTCCGTCATTCCCCGTTTTCATTCATATATTTGTAATCTTTTCATTTTCTTTCATTCTTCCTGTCATTTATTTTTTCATTCTCTTCTTCGTAATCTTTCCTGTTTTACGTTCTTTTTCTTTTTATCATTTCCTAAAAAATATTTTTTCTGTTATTTCCATCCCAGAATGCAAGAGTAAACCAGCTGACATCGCCTTCATTATTGACGATTCTCGAAGTATCTATGGACCCGATTTCTACAAAGGCATGGAATTCATACAAAGTTTTGTGGACATTTTTCAAATTGGTCCCCAAGATGTTCGCATCGCCGCCGTCACATTCGGTGAGGTAGTGATAACATATTCGGCTTTCGGGTTTGAAGCGAATAGCAATAAACATGAAGTTCTTAATGCTCTTGGCAGAATCACATTCGAACCTGATTATGGAGGTAAGACCTACACAGATAAAGCCATTACTTATGCCCGTAACAATTTTTTCAACCATGCGCGGCCAAATGTTAAAAGATTGCTATTGTCCTTACCGATGGAAGATCCGATAATCCGCCAAAGACAAAGGCAGAGGCGGATCTCCTGAAAAGCCAGGATGTTGACATTATTGCTATTGGTGTCGGCGGTAGTGTTGATGAGAGTGAACTGCACGCAATTGCTAGCAATCCCGACAGCGTTTTCCGAGTAAATTCTTATCGTGCACTGAAAGACATCATAAAATCTCTTGGTTTCATCACCTGCAGAGGTAAGTTATAGTTCTCCTTTTATATATTTCTGTAAGGTTGTTTTGTCTGTCGACTTAGAAAGAATGGTAGAAAAAAGGCAAGAAAGATGAACTTATATTTGATTATACACAAGAAAAATGTGATGGATTACTGTATGTAATCTATCATCTTATATGTTAGTGAATGTTGGATAATCTCTCCACGGATGAGAAGAAAACAAATTTGACATGTACCTAGGAACTTAAGACGGTCTCAGTGAATGATTTTTCCTAGCATTTATGTAACCTCATTCGGCAGGAATAAAAGGATTAAATTCCTTATGGCCTTGTGTGGTTCAGAAACCGTCCTTTAAATCCGGTATTCCTTAAATCCGGTATTCCTTAAATCCGTTATTCCTTAAATTCGATATAACACCACAAGTGTTAATCTATCAATCCGATATAAACGCACAGTTGGTTCGTTAAAACTAATATTCCTTAAATTTGATATGAATCCAAAAGTGGTCCTTTAATTTCTATATAATTCCACAAGTGGTTCCATAAATCCTTCAATATGATATCAATGTAAATGTGGTTCCTTAAATCCGATATTTCATAAATCCGATATAAATTCACAAGTGGTTCGTTAAATTCGATATAATACTACAAGTAGTTTTTAAGACCAACAAATGCGATATAAATGCGCTTCCTTAAAGATGATAGTCTTAAATTCATGAACGCTAAATGGAATTTTTTGTATGTGTAATAACATCTTTTGCATTTAATCCGGACAGAAAAAATACAATAAAATAAAACGAAAGAAATACTTTCTAAAATCTTGCTTTTCGTTTCAGCTGCTTCAACTGCTGCTCCCACAACTACCACTACTCCTACGACTCCTACGACTACTCCCACTACGACTCCCACGACTACTCCCACTACGACTCCCACTACTACTCCTACGACGACGACTACCACGACGACGACAACACCTCCACCGAAGGCGGAACGTGAGAGTCTATTATTTTTTATTATTATTATTATTATTATTATTATTTTTATTTATTTATTTATTATATATTATTATTACAATGTCACTTCACTTATTAAATAAAATGACATTTTATTTCTTTGTTTATTTTAAATTTAACCCATATACTAATTTCTTTATATTTAACTAGCATGCGACGGACAGGAGATCGACTTTAACTTTGTATTCGACCCCGCTCAAATGGGTACGAGTGGTACTGAAGATACCATTCGCTTCATTAAAACTGTCGTGTCTGCTGAAGATTTAAATAATGGTAAAGTACGCGTTGGCACCATTACGGGACCCTGTCCAGACACAAAAGGTATGTACGAATTCTTTTGTTTCGAATTCAGCGTATCTAATTTACCCTACATTCTTGTGTATAAACCAATCAAAAAGACGACGCCATTATTTTATGTCTGAGAAAGTAGCTAAACAACACATTATGTTCAGAAAACCTTTCCAGTAAAAGAGCAGACCCACAGGCTTCACTCGCTCAAAGCCATTTTTGACCATTGATCTTAGAAATGCGGCTCTATACAGCTGACAGTTAATGGCTTTTCATGACATCCATATGAAAATCTCAATCTGAAAAGGCTATTTACGTGATTATCTGTGATTAAATATGACCGTTCATATTACTTAATCGTGCAGGCATGCAAGAGAGAATATTTTGGTTTGTTGTTTTACGGTGTATCAACCCCAATAATAGTTGTAAAAGGCAACACCTTCATAGCTAAGTTTTGGCACAAGGTCTCTTTGAACGAGAGAACTGCTACGAATTTGATGAACAAGATACTCAATGAAACTATATATATATATATATATATATATATATATGATACGAAAATACCAATGCTTTGTGAGAGCTGTGTAACATTTAAATTTGTTTAAATACTGCACTCTGCTGTCATTTGCGTTTTTTCTTTCTTTCTTTCTTTCTTTCTTTCTTTCTTTACCTCGCTACTCATCAATAGGTCGCAAGGTAAATAAAAAGCCTGCTGTAGAGCATTGGCTCATGAAGTGATGGGAAATGAAAATGGGGATGGTGTCTGTTTATATTTTACGTGACTTTCTAATATAAGAATATATTTATATATCTTTTTTTCTTTTTCAGGTTTCCATCTCAATCGTTATCAAAATCTTCCTGATATTCTGACACATTTTGATAGCTACAGAACGACTGAAATTTATTCATTGATTACCGATCTTCGAACGGAAGGTTTTGATCCTAAAAATGGCGGCCGACCAAATGCACGCAAGGTTGGCGTCTTGTTCCTTAGGGGTAAATTAAGCTATCCCGAACGGGCGAAATTAGAAGCGAAGTTGGCTAAGACGAAAGGAATAGAAATATTTATTGTCGACATGGGCAGTTTGAACCATGAGAGTGTACTTGAATCATTGGCATCCGGAAAGTCAAGTCATATTCTACGAGCATCCGACTCAGGAGAAATGATTGAAATGGCCAGGACACTTGTGGCTCATATTTGCAAAAGTAAGTTCAGTTTTTCTATAGTTTAGCGGGTGGGGGACAACCGGTGTTTCTAGGGTGGCTCAAGTGATTTTTGTGGACGCATCTTCCGATTTTAAACATGTTCTTTTTAATCAGTTCTCTTTAAGCAAGGCAATAACGCCACTAAGACGCAAGGGGGGCTACCGGGTGTGAAAGCGAAGAAAAGTTCTACCCCTGTTCAAAGGATCGGAAAGGGGTGTGAAGGGTCTCTCGCATGGATTGGATTTTTGTATTCCTCCCTCATTTACTAAGCGAGAAGAAATTTACACAGAGTTTGAAGTCTTTTTTTGTTCAGTTAACCAAACTTCAACCTGAATCGCTTAAGGTTAATGAACTTAAGGCAAGGTAGAATGAATCTATGCGGCTATTGGGAGTGAAAGCGAAGAAAACTTTAGAAGCAACCAACGTGATCAAATGATCAACATGGCAACATGATCAAATTTCAAATCTAAATTGTTTTTGTGGTCTAACCACTCAATGAAAGTTATGATCATTGTTTTTATATATATATATATATATGGACTGGACTGGAGAATTATTTTTAAATATTTTCTGTTTATACGCTATTATTATAGGTAGAAAAATTTAAGTAAATACTCAGTTTATAATATACAGTTCAACATTTACCAGACATTTTATTCATCTTATTTTTAATATTCAGTTTTTCTTGTTTATTTACTAATATTGTCTTAATTTTTTATTAAATATTAAATTCTTTTGCTTAATATTAAAATTAAAATAATAATTTTAAATTAAATAATAGTTTAAATATTAAATTCTAAATTTTCTTTTATCTACAATCTTTAAAATTCTTCCTTTCCTTAACTTTAATGATTGTATTCTCTTATGCATTTTTTCCAATTTGAATTTTTCCTGTTCGAACAAGAGTTAATATTTTACATATAGATCAATTTTATTCTTCAACTGCTTTGATCTTCTGTCAAGACTTGTATATGTTCTGTCTTCCTGTTTTCCCCTCTCTACTTGTGTGTTTTTTCTTTTTCTATTTTTCTATCTCCCTCTTAAATGCCTTTTCCCTTATTTGTTGTTTGTTCCTCTGTTTTCCTCTCCCTTTTTTGTATCCTTTTTTAAATTTTAAATTAACAAAAAAAAAAAAAAGAAGTTAGGATTCATTTATTTATCAAACGGTTTAGTATTTACAAGCTCCATGGTATCTATCCCAAGGGGCGAAATGGACATAAAAATGGGGAACAACTGAGTTTCATTTATGTATTTCATATATATACATATATATATTTGAAGCTCTTGTTTTGAAACATGAGAACTCTTATGTAGCGTTGGAATCATATTTTTAAATAATTAATTAATTATATATATATATATATATATATATATATATATATATATGAAGTTAAGCGGTAAAATTTTCTGTGCCCTTGAAATAATAGTATCGCTATAAATATTTATATAGTTATCAGAAACCGACAGTTAAATGATTAAATAATTTACATTTATTTTTATTTTATTTTATCTTCTTTTCTTTTTTTTATTTATTTTTATTTTTTGTTGCAGAAAAAGCTGGTGGGTCTGACTGTTGATCAGCATATGAAAACATGGATGGTGACGATGAATTCTTAAATAACTATATACTGTAAACCAATTGGCATTAAATAAAAAGTTTCCTACATTCAACTGAAAAAGCAAGGTGAACATTATCGCACTGTCTCAGACATCGTTGTTTTTAAAAAAAAGGAATTATCCCCACAAATGACTTCTTGCTGATAATCCCACCAAAATATAGAAAAAAATAATTTGAATCTCTTCTGGGGATCTTTCCGAAAGGAAACCGTTTTTTTTTCTCTCTCTCTTTTTTTGTTTTGTTTTGTTTTTTGTAACTACGTTAAAGCAATAAAATTCGACTGAAAATATTTTATTCCAATCCATTGTTCGTTTGAACATTTCATTGGCCAAATATTTTTTTAAAATCTGTATCATCCCATGTAACCACGAGCATACAATGGTTTACAAGTTGTGCAGCAATTAGGAACAGAAACATTCGTAATGAGAAGGAAGAAAAGAGCAATCAAGAGGGCAGTAGATAGCGATTGACATTGCGTTTAAATTTTTGCAGATTAAAGTTTGTTTGAAAGCATGTAACCAGAAGGGAGTTCCATAATCGAAAAGTGCAGGAAAAGCAACTGTTAGCATAGAAGGTCCGGCTATATCTAACTAGCTCAACTGTAAATTGATGAGATCCCATCGCCAGTCTAGTATTGCGCTTAAATTCATACAGTCTCGGAACTGAAGAGGTCGTCAGAACAATTACCATGAAAGTATTTATAAAGAGCAAGGGAGAGAAGCAAATTGGAAACATCAGACCATATATGGGAGCAACATTCCATGCAAGGACGGATTATTGATTTATTGATTTGAAGGATGGACTCAGACGAGAAAAACTTTCTGACATGACACAGAGAACCAACTTTCCTTGCGGTAGATGAAGCTATTGATTCAATATATTTATTCCACCTCATGTCAGGGGACAGCGTGAAACCAAGCCGGCGTAACGAGGCGCTCTCAAGGAGTTGGGTATCAGCCATTCTGATGGTAGTCAGGAAGGGTTCTCTGTGGTGGGTAAAGGAGAGCAGTTTCATTTTGGAGGCATTAAAATTTGAAAGCCATTTCCAGGCCCAGTCAACCACAGATTAGAAGTCCTTTTCGAGATCAGCAGCCATCTTAGTTTTGTCAACGATACCAGATTTACTATTGACATGAAAGTATTTATATGTTGTGGACCCAGAATAGGTCCGAAAGGAAACTTGAACTCAGCTATTTAGTGAAAACATAACAAAAAGAACGAATACAAAAGTGTTGCACGTCCGACTGACGGCAAAGTACAGTAGTCAACTCGTCAACTGTAGACAGCGATATTTAGTGACCGCCACCCCACAAGGGTTACATGTGGCACAAGGCCGGTTTAAAAATAATCCCTCTTTGAACCCGCATAAACGGGTTCAGGAGCAGTCAACCTCCCCGAACGAGACTCTGCCCTTCGGCGGAGCCTCATCCGGGTTCCTCTCCGCCTGTTTAGCTGTAACAGGTCAACATATATATATATATATATATATTATACCAAGTGATAATTAGTAGGGATAATTCCAAGGAGGACATTAATCCAAAAAAGCTCATTTCTTAAAAACAAAATACCTACGGGCTGAAGAGATGAATATTTAAATATATTCATGAAATAAATTATAACCAGAATGGATTCATAAGGATTGTCTTCATTATTATTATTATTATTATTATTATTATTATTATTATTATTATTTTCTTTGATTTCTGGCGTTTACACATTTCTTTCCGGGTCCCGCCCAGGGACCTAAGGTTAGAAATGGCGTCATGACACTTTCCACTGACAAAAAAAAGTAAAAAAAAATTACATAGATAAAGCCCTTCGTAAAGTGTGAGCTGTACTTGTCAGAACAATTTTTGGTATCTTCTTGAGGCATGGACTTCCAGGAATCCCTTCAATTAGTCTACTGCAATCTTTTCCAACCAGTCCTAGGGCTCCAACTACAACAGGGATTGTTGATGTTCCCATATGCCACATTTTCGAGATTTCTATTTCAAGGTCCTTGTATTTTGACAACTTTTTGAATATCTTCAAAGATACATTGCAGTCAGCAGGGTCTGCCATATCAATAAGGAGGCACCGTTTTTGTTTGTGGTCTTTAATAACAATCAGGTTGCACGATGTTGGCACCCACTGAATATAAAACCCGACATAACAGAGTGGGCCAATATCTGCACTGGAAAATCTGCAACTTATACGGGAAGGAAACTGAAAGAAACTGGTATGAACACCACCCAGACCCGGTTACGGAGATAGGATCTGTTACAATTCTATGGGACTACACAATACACACTGACAGAACAATCAAGGCCA